ATGTATATGTATAGATTTATTTACACGTATACATATTTGTGCATATATATGTATGCCGCACGACGAGGATCCGAACGAGACACTTTGCACGCTCGCTGTACAATAAGCCGACTTTCACCTCGAGCGGAGCGCGAGTGCTTTCGCGTCGAAAGAGAAATCCCATATAGCGACGATATATTTTAGGCCGGACTTCGCTTAGCCGCGTCGCGATCGTATTTCGCCGCGCCGTACTAGAATATTCCCGGACTAATTATCCGATCGTGCGCGCAGGTGTTGCGGGTCTTGCACGGGCGCACGCCGCGGAACATCGCGCGCCGCCGACGCAGCCGCCGTTGCTGTTGAGTAAAATTAGACGACGCGTCTCATCTACTCTTCTCTTTTTTTCCCACTACGTAATTATGTAACGGTGAGATGTATAAGGCCAATTTACCGCGCTGACCGCTGCACGAGACGCCGTTTCGGCGAAGCGTTTCGCTCGTCGAGAGGCTAATCCGCCGTTCCTTGTTTCTCTTTTTTTTCCTTCTGTCTCTTTCTCTTTCTTTCTCTCTCGCTCTATTTTTTTTTTTATATATAACGAAACGAGAGAACGAGTTGAAGGTTCGTTAGACTCGCGGGATCTCTGTATTGTCATGCCGTTGCCACGGGGTCTCATTTTCGCGCTCTCTCGTCTCTCGTAGGTTCCCCCCACATTTTTCCAATTCTCTCTTTTTCAGGAAACATTGTCATTTGCCCGACACCCGTTACAATCAAATCGTCGCTCCCGAGGGACTGTCGCGCATATAGAATATAAATGTCACTGTCCTTGTCACGGACGATTGTCAATTATTTTGTTCTCTCTCGCGCCTTTTTTCCTCCTTTTTTCATAATCGGTTTCCCGCTGGCGCCGCAGCGCCGGCTCTCGTTCCCCGCGACAGCGCATCACGCCGCTTTCTCTTATTTCCTAGTTCAATAAAAAACCGGAATCCCCCGCGTGAAGGTACTTCTTCGTCGCGGACGCGACTTCCTGGAGGTTCGCGCGGGCTCTGTTAAAAAATTGCTTTCGATTCGCACGGGCAGACGGCGGAGATACCGGAGGCGTCATCGATATTTACGGTGGGATTGCTACGCATTAACCGCATTGAAAAATTTATCCGGTTTACCACGCCGATACCCAAACGTGCGAAGTGTAAATAGAAACAGAAAGTACGCAAACGAACGTAAAAAATGTAGAAAGCGCGCGATGAATATGTGATACGCGTGCGATCGATTCGCGAATTCTCGCGATCTGTGTGTGTGCGTTTGTGTCGCACACACACGCGCCTATCGTCGCACATCGATGCCGAAGCATTGGGAACCACGGATGCGTGTACCTCCCATCGGATTATATTTAAAGTTCGATGAACCGTGGGCTCATGCTACTCATGCTTGCTGCAATTCGGCGGACGAAACAAACGTCGGAGAAATCGAACGCCCGTAAGATTCCACTCGAATTATTCCCTCCTCTCTCCGCTTCTACTGTCGCTTCTTCTCCTGCCTCTGCTTCGTCGTTCTGCTTCGAAATGACGAGACATTCATGTCACTCGTGCGTGCATGTATCAAAGCAGTGCCCGCGTTTCACTCTCGCGGCACGTCTCTTTCTCTCTCTCTCTCTCTCTCTGTGTATGTGTGTGTATGTGTGTATAATACGTTATCAAGCATCTGTAAAATGCCGCTGCCGCCACCGCCTCTTCTTCTGCTTCGTGACTCGAAATTACGAGACATTTATTTAATTCGTAACGCAAGCATTTCACTTTCGCAACGTGATGCATCTCTATAGTACCATATCACGGGTCTATAAAATTCTGCTGCTGCTTCTTCTTCTTCTTCTTCTTCTTTGTTCTTCTTCTTCGTGACTCGGAATTGCAAAATATTTATTGAATTTGCAACGTTCGCGTTTTATTTTAGTGGCACGATACATTTCTGTAGTAGCGTTATCGAAAATCTGTAACGATCTGCGCCGTCTTCTTCTTCTTCGGCTTCTTCGTGACCCGAAATGAGACATTGATTTAATTCGCTTATATAGAAGAAAAAGTGGTATTATGGTCCTTGTAGGTCTTATGGATCCCTAATCTGATTTCCCCCACTAAAATAGATTTAATACGGTCTCTTTTTCGAGGTTTTCATATCGAAGTAGTTATTTCATTATTACTAAGTTAATAATTCGAATTAAGTTTAAAAGTCAATTCGTTTTGCAGAAATTATTCTTTTGACAGTTAGTATCTACCTTCTGACAAGCAAGTCAGTGTACTTACATTAAAAATTCACGGTTATATTCATTGTTGTTCCTTCTAAGGGAATTTCTTTTAAATAAATATATGTTATAACAAAATCAATTTTTTAAATGTTTGTTTCAACAGTAGGTCACATTACCATCCCTTGTCCCTTTTCGACCCATTATGCAGTACATTTTTATAAATAACGTCCTAACTAATAAATACTTCATAACCTTGAGTCTAGAATCGATTGAACAACACTGAACGATGCAATCGTTAAGATTTCAAGGTAAAATATTGATTTTTAACGAAATTATTCTATAAAATAAGGGGGCCATAATACCACCTTCTCCTCTCTCAACGCAACGCCCAGATTTCACTTTCACGATACGACATGGCCCTCTCTGTATACCGCGTTATCAGGTAATCACTCCGAAAATACATTTCACTAGATGTTACCGATATTATGACTTCGCATTAGCGCGTGAATGTCGGGCGAACACGCAACATCGGGACTCATTACGCAGATTCGACGACCGGCCGTACGCTCTCCCTCGCAACACCTCGTAGAAAGGTAATTTTTAATTATACCAAACACGATCGTTTTTTTCTTTCGCGCGATTAGAAAGTGCGGAGAAACCTCTGCAGTGCTTGCGAACGGACGTTACATTCGAAGGCTTCGCCGAGGGAAATACAGCCGGGAAAATCGCGCGCAAACGCGATCGCCGCGCGACGGCCGCGAGAGAGCCTCGAGTTGTTATAACGGGACTTCGCTATTTCTTATCGCGAATTATTATTTCCCGCACCGTGCTGCGATATTTCCCGAGACGCTCTCGGACGTGATCTCACGAAGCGACTTGTGAATCGGCGGCCGATCGTCACCGATTCCCACCGACACGATCGTGTCGATTCGGATTCCTCGGACAGCCGTCGAGAACGCTCGGCTCGCGGCTTCTCGCTTCTATCGGGGCGTTTTAGAAAGTAACGCGGTGACACGTGAGAAATTCGCAGCGGACGTTAATTCGCGACGCGCGCGCGCAAGCAGAGACGCAATGAAATCTCTACATTGCGCGAAATCGCGAGGCGCGCCGGCGACACGCACGGATTATCCGATTTTCTCCGCTTCTCTCTTTTTCCGCCTCCTTTTTCATCCGCCTTTAATCACGAATCTCGGGGGAAGTGGCTTAGCGAACACCGACGCCGGTCCCGCTGATAAAATCTCCGAATTTAAATCTGTCTCGCGGCCGACAGGGAGGGAGGGAAATCAGCGATTGGATTTTTCATCCGGTCGCAAAAATCCGAGTTTGGAATTGGTACATGCTTTCAAACGCAACGCCCCGCCCCCCCCTCCCCCCATAAACAATACTGTTATCAGTTAGTAATAAACCGCCAATCGCGGCCGGTTTCACGAACGCCCATAAAATGATAAGCCTGGCCGCGCGCCCGCGCCTCTTTATTGTCACGATTACCGGACCGGACGTAACGGGAAAACGGCGTCTCGCTTACGTAACCCAGTCGAAAGGAGCGAAAAGCACTGAATCCTTATTTGATATTCTCGGGACGACGGTGCGCGTTGCTCAAGGCGATACGCAGCATACCATCGCGCGGCGGAGACCTACTTTTTAAATCGCCGCGCGCCCGCTGCTGCGTTTTCGCTCCCACGCACGCATTCCGCAGGAGGAGACGCGGCGCCGGGCCGGGCGAAAAATTGGCGGGCCGGCAATTTCTAGCCGCCGCGCGACTAAGGAGAAGATGCCGGCGTATCTCCTGGTGCCGGGATCCATACTGAGGAAAATGTCCGATCATGCCTGGTCGGATAATCCAATTAAAAGGCAGCAAACGGATGTATCCGATTAAATATCCGATCATTCGATTTCGTCAGACGCTTCGTCGGATAAAAGTGTCCGTCACTCGGATCGGACAATGAAAAGGAACAATCGGATACATGAATTAATCGGTTCATCCGGTGGAAATTTTTCTCAGTAGCAGCCTCCGGACTTTCCGGGTCAATTTATCCCCCGTCGCTCTCGGACGTGACAAGCAGATAGAAAGTTCGATACGTTCTCACGTGCACGCTTCTCTAATTGCACGCTTGCGTTTTGATTCCGCCGTGTCGAGCACGCCGGAAACCCGATCGCTCGCTCGTTAAGATATCGAGGCCTCGAGATCCCGAAGCCGGTCAGCTCCGAAATCACGGACTTTCCAGAAAGAGAGAATGAGGGAGGGACGAGAAACCGATACCCGGCTCGCGACCACCTTTCGGACGGGGGACACATGCTTCCCATTGCTGCGCCGGGAGCGCAGCTCTCGAAATCCGGAAACCAGCGTTTGTTTATTTATTTATTCATCTCTTTCCGCCAAATAAACATTGCCCGACACTGCTGCGATTTCAAATATCGAAAACTGATTCGGGTGCAATGTTTCCCCCGCGTCTAAAGATCCCCCGTACTCTCCGCAGACAAGGAAGAGTAAATAACGAGTCCCATGCGCTCGCACAAACGCTCGAATCGCGCTGGCGCACCTGCCAAAGAAGCGCGTCCGCTCCGACAGCGAGACGACGCGACGGCGGGATGCACCGCCGATCGACGGGAGCGCGAGATTTTCTCGCGCGATGGGAGGCGGAAAATCTCGCACAGCATCCGGAGAGTACGAGAACGGACAGCGGGCGAGAGTGACAGGGAGAGAGAGAGAGAGAGACTATGAGAGAATCAGTATCGATCCGACGAATACGGTCCGATTCTAATAATGGGAGCGACCAGACGTACTTACCAGCGGTGCACAGTTAGACGCGCTTTGCCGTCCGAAATCCGCGACGAAAATGCAAACGATCGCGAAAAAGGAAAACGAAAAAGGGGAGGAAGATGAAATAGAGGGAGGAGGAGGAGGTTGGGAATTCGCGAAGGACGCGCGAGCCGGAAACGCGAGCGACGTGATGCAGGTGCAGGATCGCAGCCCGCCTCTCAGCCCAGGAGCCACGAGACACTCGCGTATTGTCAAACCGGTCGGTCGGTGACGCGAATCAATCCACTCCTGATGTCCGACACGCCGCGGCGCAGACTGACCTTACGGGACGCGGTGCCGCGAGCGACGTCGTGACGCCGTGGACTACCTGCTGGTGGCGAAGCCCTGAACTAGAAAGAGCGCGCCTGGCGGGTCGGTTGATGGTCACCCGGCCTTCGCGTTTCTCCCGATTCTGCGGACCGGATCCGAGGAAGCGCGACTTGTCTCCGACGATACTCCGTCTTGTGACCTCCCTTCGCGACCTGACGGATCACTCGCACCTGCGGGTCGATTGCGCATCCCAAAACTTAGTGAGAATTGCAAAAGTTAGAAAATTCACTAGATTAAGTGTTGATCGATGAAATTATAGATATTCTAGTAAATCTGTTCACTTTTGTCATTCTCACTTTCTAATTCTCTACGTTTCTAATTCTCTACGTTTTGAGACGCACAAACGACCGCCTGATCGTCCGAGAACGCGGAGATGGTCTGAATCGCGAATCAATTGGTCAATTGTGAAGTAACAATGAGGAAAGGAGAACCTGTCGGCTGTGCTTTGTAATTTCGACATCACGTCCGTTCGCGGCGATGAATAACGAAGGGTATTTAGGTCAAAGGTGAGAGTACGCCGCCTATCGTACGCAGTAAAGGCAGATCTGGTTCGAAGCAACGGACAGCAAATGTACTCGACAGCACCGTCGAAGAGCCGAGGGCAACCGTCTGATCTGCCAAGCCTGCCACTTGCAGGTCGTTGGCTTGTGTATCGGTTGCCGGTAAGACCAGCCGCCGAGCAGCAAGGCCGCTCGCCGCGAATATTATCGCAACAACACGATGACACTGTCGGAGAAGAGTGAACGGTCGGTTGATGGAAGCACCACGTCGGTTATCGGGGTCGCGTAGACTTGAAGACCTCGCCGTGAGCTTACGCCCTCTCGGCGAGTCTCGCGGCTACAGTACGAAGCAGCGAGCTACAGCAAGTATGAAATATAGCGGAAAAGAGGAAAAAAAGGAGCGAGGGGGCGATGAGGAAAAGAAAGCGATGACACTGTTTCTGGAAAAGACAGATGGATACCTATAAAGAAGAAGAAGAAGACACATCTCGTTATCGCGACGGCTTTATAGAGTCGTTTGGGCGACTCCCTTATGAAATCCGAAAGACGCGAGTCCTCGTGGAACAATCATACCGCAAACGCACACAATGATGCTCTCCTGTGTATACATATAAACTCAGCGGGAGTAGCGGCGATATCGATTCGCCTCCCTTCCTAAATGGGGGGTGGGGGGGAGTGGCGTTACGTCTCTTCCGCTCGGCGCTGTCGCGGATCAGCGTGTAGCCGGTCGTCTTGCTCTCATCTCGCTCTCGCCTCATATCATCCCTCGCGAAAGACGAGAAATGCGGCCCGACGAGTGAGGGAGTATTTTTATAATAAAGAAGACACCTGACTCCGGACTTCTGCCGACCCGGTCTCCCCGCTGCGACCTAATCCGCTGCCCATTTTCGCAATTTTTTACGAAAGCTCCACACGGAGTGACCAATTGCGCGTCACGCTCGTATCTTTGCGCTTTTTCGCTGCGAGTGAGAGCCGACGAAATCGTCGGGGCTTACGTGTAGCGAATAAGAAGGCACGGGCATTTGCGAATTTAACGGACGAGGTCAACCCGAATCAAAATCTTCCGTTAAACAATTCAAGGAAGAAATGATCGAATTAAATTAATACCAAAACCGCGGCAATTTTTCCCCACCTACAACCGCGGATGCGTCACTATTGACTCATTTCTTTTTTCTCAATTATCCGTGAACTATAATGAACCTTATCGTTCGATTGCTTTATAGGTAAAGACCTCCCAGTGATGAAAATTCAAAGAAATTGGAAAAAAAGAATCCGCAAGTAGGTAAAAAACGACCCAGCCACGGTTCTATCATGTTAATGAAATTGCTGAATTAAATTACTGAATTGAGTCCACTTTTACCTTTTATGAGGGATCAGATCGCAACTGAATCGCGATTAAATCGCCGATCGAACGCCGCTTCTCAATGCACCCTCTTGCATATAAAGTAACATTTTACCACGTCGATAAAATGAAATCTACGAATGACGTACGACGTAAGGTCGTAGACGCAGAATAATGCGCGCGGCGATAATAAAATAATCTGCTTACGTCTTTTTCTTTCTGCTCCTCTTCCTTTCTTTTTTTTCCCCTTTTCTTTTCAGACATGGCGGCGCGCCACACATGAAAGATATTAAATTCCATTCGAACGAAATCGGTCGGCGATAGCGCGCGAAGGTTAAAGGGAGAGGCGTAGGTAGACTATGGCGAGCGCAGTATAGAACGGTGCTGGTAGGTCAAAGTTTAAATTGACACACAGCCTCGGCGCTCCCGACGAGCAGCTGTCGCCGGCAAAGCCGATCGGGAACACAACGGCCGGCTCTCGTTATCTAATGCAGCCACATTCGCGGGACGTTAAGTAGTAACAACGTAGGCAGGATAATGGCATTCAAAGAGCTGTTTGCAGTTCAATGGAGGGATGTGCGTTGTATGCAGTTATGCGCGCAGAGAGGCGTGTATTTATACGCTTCTCTCTCTCTCTCTCTCTCTCTCTATCTTTCGGAACGGACGAAAGAATGAATTCGCGGTGTTCCTACCTGGCGACTCCGCGAGCGGAATATTGGCACGTACACTCCGTAGTCAGGTGTGATCCCAAGGATATCCGGTGGCCGAAGCATGTCCTCGATGATCTCTGGATATGTTAACGATTCGCTCGTAAATAATAAGAATGGTATTGAAAAAAAAACGTAAGCAGAAAAGCTCAAGCAATAAACGAATCGACGAATCATAGTCGAGAATTTCAACATAATAGACTTACACGGAGAAGAGAAATGATCCTATCCGTATAATACAATTCACAACTAAAATTTAGTTAGATCCAGTTTTTAGCTGTGGAAGCTAAAAACTAGGTATAGAAACACAAAGAATTAGCTAAATTAACCAAATTTTAGTTGGATTTTATTCCGTATTATATGGACAGCTAATTTTTACCTCTGGGAGCTAGTTTTCAATCTGAGAGTTAGTTTTTAATGTGGGAGCTAGTTTTCAGCTGTGAGAACCAATTCATTTTTACCGTATACTCTCGAAATTCCTCCGGATAAAATTCCGCTCGAAAAATAAAATGAGCCAAGATAAAATTCCACTCGAAAAGTAAAATGCGCCAAGTCACTCAAAGTCGAGTGGCTTTTCGCTCATATAAAGTGAATTCTTCCATTCTGAATCGACGAGTGAATATTTTCATTAGAAATTGAAGAGCGAATCTGACGAACTCCATCGTGACTGGAACAACTAATCATTCACACTCTCTATAATCAGCTGAAATATTCAATTGATCTAAGAAAGATCTAAGAAAGAAAGAAATAATGACCAGTAAGAGCCAAATCACGGTTTTGTAACGATGTATACAAATTAAGATAATGTCTCAGCCATCATTCATATTTTCGCAACATAAGAAAAAGAACAAAATGTTTTTGTTGTTTAGAGAAGGTTTTCTAAGGGGCTTCTATTAATTACTGAGATTCAAGGATTCATTCGTGGAAGATTAATTCGCCGCGTACATTTTCCCAAAAAATTCTTCACATGGTACACTGAGAAAAAAAGCGTTTGGATCGACAAAATCGGCGGTCACTCTTATTCAAAAAAATATTTTGTCTACTGAACAAATTACGCATTGGCGCAACAATACGTTGCATTGATTTAGTCACTGACCAAATCGCAATCGTTGAATCAATTAGTAACTCGTCGCAGCAACTGTATAATTTGTTCAATAGACTAAAAAGTGGTGCTTGAAAAATTATTATTCGTTTAAGCAAATTTTCGTTGATTCTATCGATTTTCTTCTCCGTGCGTAATATACGATAAATATTTATATGCTCCCGCAAATAATAATTTACGTACATCGCTATAACTGCCGCGATTTGCGGCCATTATTTTTTTCTTTCTCAATCGCATAGGTTGCGAATCCACTTTACAATTTGTCTTAAACATTCGCTCTCTTGATTCTGGATAGATGTATTTTCACTGTCGCTTGAATTCACGAATGAATTTTCACTCGTTTCAAGTGACATTTCACTCCAAAAGCTTTAGAGAATACGTTCTCTCGACGATTTTCAAACGTGACAGGCCGTTTTCGCTCCCTGTTTAAGTATTACGTTTTAACGTTTAAGTATTATGTTGTTTAAGTATTACGTTTTAAGTATTACGTTTTACGTTCTTTGTGCACCACAGCCTTAAGAGAGACAAGATTTGTAAAAGAAAAGACCCGAAAGAAAAGCCCGAAATCAACGTGCACGGTCCCGGTCGGATACTTCATCCATGCGTTCCGAATCGATCCCGCGGGGCAGTTAGGTAGGCACACCAGCAAAAATCGCAACCGAGAGGAGGCAGCCGTCAGATAAACGACCGAAATTGCGGAGAAGCCTCCGAAGCGAGAAGCAAAATGTTTCGCTCCAGTTCCCAATCATCCGGCGCGCCGCGCGTCGAGCCTCCAATTCTGCATGGGAAATCAAGTTCCCCGTGTAACTTATGAAAACGGCCAAATCGAACATAATAATCCGACGACAGACAGGAAACGTAGAAATCCGCGGGAAAAGAACGCGAGATCGCCGAATCATTCGAGATTGATCGCAATCTGTAAGAATGCGCTTTCCGATCACACACTAAAAGAAAAGAGTGCCACATTTAAGTAAATATTTTATATTAAGGAGTATCAGAGTAATAAAAATATTGAGGTAATTATCTTGCCTAAATTAAGTAAATATTACTTGAATATAGTCTTTTTTTTCTTTCACTATGCTATATTCAAGTAATATTTACTTAATCCAATAATCACTTGCACATATTTACTTGAATATAACACTTTTAGCGCGCCAACATTGATTTATCGCATTTTCGCGTGTTATAATAGCTTCAATTTCTCGTGATCGCCGAAGATGTGACAGTTATAAAATACAAAGAGCAGATACAAACAGCTAATCGCGTGACATTAGTTTTCATTCCGTTCCGAGGCGAAAATAGCAAGATACGGAAGCAGCGATAATCGCTTTGTCGCCTTCGGTGGCCAACAATTGTCGTCGTTACCATTGCAACGCCTCTGTGCGATTAACCTGAAAGCAGCTAATTTCCCTAATGAAACGCGCCATAAAACGAGAACGATCAATTATTAGACGCGATGGGAACTGCATCGCGGACAGATCGCGAGTGCGCGATGCGCAATATTCTTGCGCTTTGTGTCGTAGTAAGGAGAGATAAAAAGCACAGGGGAGACAAGGCTAAAAATATTGTACAGGCACGGGCGAGTCGTCTGGAAGTGTCGTCTCGAACATGCAGGTTACAGGATAACTCTCCGAACAGCGAATCGCCGTAAATTTTTCAATCGAGCACACGTCTCCTCGTGACTCGTCGATCGCGCACGCTACGGGGATGATTAAAGTACGAAGGGACGTTTCATAATTAAACACATTTATTGAATCTTTTATTGGTACGAGTAACACATCGCCGCGTCGACCAGCGCGAGACGAATATACAATATATGTATTTGTTTATGTATCTAAATATATATAGATACATGCACACACCTATGTTTCATCCACACTGTCCAACACACACGCATACACGCGCGCGCGCGCACAAGTATCTCGCGCGACTCGTGAGGTCGATCGGAGGAAACGCCGTTCGCCGACCAGTAAGCTGCGCGAAACGTGCGAGTCAAGGATTTCGCGCACTTATTTCTAATAATTTCGTGTATTTACTTAATGACAACAATCATTTTTTTCGAGAAACTCAGAATTTCACGGCGGTTGGTCATTCTAACACTCACCACAACGTGATATGAACTACTTTTTTGTTGAAGTCATACCGAACAAATGACTTGTGTAATAATATTGCCGAGTATTCCCTCGCGTTTCCCGAGAAACAAGGATTATTTTTCTTTCTTGGCATCGTGTTCTTCGAATGAAAACTTATATATAACTCCAAACGATAATAAGATGCAACTTGTTAAGGATACACGCAATGTCCTGACCAATCGCGTTGAATATTAATCAACGATCAATTAACGCGGAACGAGCAGTCTTGAAAATGTGGCAATAGTGATCGAATGTCCACGCGTAGAACGTCAATTCACCGATTTATCATTGACAATGGAAATCCGTTGTTTTTGATAACGCGTGGCTATACTTTACACGTTAAACGATTTCATAAGTAATTATTCGAAGTGTTTGGTGACTACGTTCATTAAAATGTAAACATTAACAGAATATAAACATTGATCCTTGTATAAACGTTGGGAAACGCGATCGACGTTATAAAATCAGTTAAAAAAATTTCCACTAACGAGCACCATTTTAACCATGTAAACACGCCGACTGATGGAAAAACGAGGAAAATTTTGGAGAATTTGGCACAGCGATATGCAATTGAATCTCAACTTCGAAATTCCGTATCGAACGTGAATCGTGAGAGAATGTTTATAAGGAACGTCGAGAGTGACGAGAAGTCGACCAATCCGATCAACTCGACTTCCATTAAAGGAAACTCAGCCTCAAATCGAGAATATGAGATTTGTTTTGGAATTCGGATCGCCAAGCGTTCACAGGATTCCCCTGGAGAGACGAGGGGGATCGGATTTTCCTCCTATCGAGAGAAGGTGTAAATTCCTCGGCTTTATCCGATCGCGACGTCGTAAATGCACGTGCAATAAACGTAAAAGGGACACGAAGGGAGGTCTTCGATCGCGTCTGAGCATCGTACTGATAGGCGTTTCAATAGGCTCCTCCGACCTTTGTCTCAGGAGCTTGCGATAGGTCAATCACGAACGACAGATAGGTACGTGAGGTGTAAACAATGTTTCGCAGGCCAAAAGCACGGGCCCGTCTAGAAAAATATAAGTATACAGCACATGTACAGGGTGATCCAGTAGACACTTTCCGGAACAGATCCCGGACACGGTCGGCCGCACGATCCTAAATCTCGTCTGCGTGAACGTATCGCGGAACGATCACTCTTTTCCCTCGAAAAGCACGAAAAAGCTCTATCGCGAGATCTGTTTCTCTTTATCGCGCTGAAGGTTCTTCTTGCGAAACAATTCAGACCGCCGAGAGAAATCGTTAAAATGTCGACAGCGTTCTCGCGTTTGCGATCAACGCGTCGCTGATTCGATTTCAATTCTAACTGTCCGTTCCATCGATGGAGTGATAACGATCGAATGGAACTTTTATTTTTATCTCTTGTTTTTCCTTTATTTTTCGGTGGGTATCGTTTCATCGCTTATGTACGCTTTTGTGCGAAATATAATATATTTAGGTGTATAACCTTGTGTATTTTCTAATAAATATCGATAATCCTCTCATTTACCGCCAACATCGATGGCGAGGTATTCCATTAACCCATTCCGTTTTCCCCGAATTCCTCGATGATCTTTAACTGACTTATTGACCTAGTTCGCCGCTTTCTTCGAGGTTCGTGGGATTTTGCACACCAGACCGCGTAGGAATTTTGCGAACGCCGTTGCCCGGTAGTGACGCTTTACCATCTATCCTATCTTAAAGTTCGCGAGGCATTCGCGCGGATTAAAACTTTCCGCGGCACGCTCTCGTACGATTCTTATCTGGATTTAATGTGGCCGTCCGCGAGAGCGACGGAAAAGTCTCCTAACGAAATCCCCGCGTCCAATGAATGCACAATGAAAGTACACCGGCCAACCACTGATTGAATTTAGCTTGATGCGCACCTCCCGAGTGCACGTCGTTTTTAACGAACGACGCGAATCGAGATAAGAGAAACGCGCCCGACTTTTCCTCTTTTCTTTTTCTCACGCCCATTACGCGTGCCTGCGCTAAATGCACTTCTGCCGTCGAAGTCGCGCCGTTTAATTTCACTGCGCATCCATCGTCCCGCGCCACGTCCAGGGAAGGATCGATCGATCGCGCGGCGAATCCCACGAAGCGCGAGCGAACGCTTACATGTTCGACTAATTCGATTGACTGCGCACTAATGTCGGGCTTACACGAGGCCGATATATAGGGAGAGACAAGTCGAGCAACGAGCTATATCTGCGTTTACCTTCCCTCGTCAAAGGGTCTAAGAAAAAGTGGGAGAATGATAAAGGCGATAGCGTCGTGTTTTTCGAACCCGCGGCGGTCCTTTGGCCTCCACTCGCGGTCCTTGTTTATTTAGCTCGCTACCTCCGCGCAATCTGCCGATTCCTGGAGTCTCCTCGAAGGCGCGCGCGATCGATACAGCCAACGAGTCCGATATTTCGCGACAAGGTAAGCAAGTAACGACTCCGCTACTTGACCTGCTTCCTCAACGGCTTCCGTGTGGCCGCGACGTTAAAAGCGAAATAATCAGAGTCGGCAACGGGTCCTGATAGATGTGCACACGTGCCAACACGTGTCTCGGAAACCAAGCGGGAGATAATTGAGGCCCCCGAGGAAACCTTGTTGACCCACAATCGTATCCGATGTCTGATTATTTACAGTGTTAAACAACTGTCCCTTCGTCCCGCCTCATTCAAGAGCCACCGAAGAAGCGACGACCTTGTGTATCCTTGGGAAAGAAGGAAAAAGGAAACAATCGATCGCACGATCTAAATTTAAAACAGAAGGAAACGTCTTTAGACTGTTCGTTATCAGCGATATCGATTTTGTCCATCCTTATATTGGCATTTACCTACCGCATTAGCCGTTCGCTAGCCGGCGTAGGCGCGATGTAAGCCCCCGATTTACCCAACGGCCTCAATTAATACTCTCCGCTTACATCCTCTTGTCTTCCTACCTCGTGCACAATTAAGGCGTGTCTCTCTGTCGGATCGTCGTCATCGTCGTTGTCGTCATACTACATCCGGAACACGGAAACGAAACGGGGAAAACGCGATGGACCGATGACGTGATGTGTTTCGGGCATCATCCGAAGGGAGGATCGACAGGAGAGATCGCACACTTCTCTCAGGAAGAGTAAGATCGATTCGATCCTTCGTGATCCAGACGTCTTTGATCGAGACGGGCAGCGTCGTGTGAAGCCGCCACCCGATAATACAGGAGGAGCACGCTTATCGCATTATCATAAGATTATACACATCGACACATCCAGGGTTAACTGCCGCTAAGTGTTATTATTAATTACCGGTTAATAAGTAGGCATTTTCAATAATATGCCAAACGCAATTCACCGACGAGTAACGCTCGACTGCCGCCGCGATCGGAGAAACGTCGAGAAAACGCGACCGGCTGATCGAATCGGCGGGAAACGCGACGCTCGTGCAATTTTTACTCGCGAGGACTGACCGGGAATCCGCCGAATTGCTCGCTCGCTCAAGGATTCGACACGTTGATTGCCACGTCACTCGTATCTGGGTTATACGAGAATTTTCGCGGGAGCAACGTCATCCTTTTGCGGGTGAAGGCTTCAGTTACGGATTAGGAATAATTTCACCAAGTACTTGTAAGATTGCAAATATCTGGTTTATCAATTTTGCCGTTTCTATCGGTAGAAACGGTAAAGTTAACGTAAACAAACTAAATTGTGCAAAGCTCTCAAGATAAACAATCACGGAAAACATAGAAGAACCAATAAGAGCCAAGCGCGGTTGTTGGTGAGAATACGTTTTATTAAACGTTTTATAGGAGGATAATACGTTTGACAGTATAACGCACTCATTCGTCTTATTCGTCAGACTTATTCGTCAGACTTTTTCAGACGTACGTGAAACGATCTTCCTTCAACGTCAAACTGCCCGGAGAAAAATTGTTTGCTGGCGCAAGGAATTACTTGTTACTAATGGCAGTAAAAGGGTTTGTCACACGGAAAAAATAATTGTGTTGTAGCAAAATATCGTTGCGACAGCAATAAAATTTAGTTGGTATAATTAGCAATTAATATTCCTAACAAATCTCTTTGCTGCCCAAACACATCCTTTTGCTGTCCAGGCAAATATTTTTGCTGTCATTATAGTAACAAGCAATTTGTTACGACAGCGAAAAATTTTTCTCCGTTCTCTGCGTTCCAATCATTAATATTGATAACCCCCAAATTTCCATAAACCATTAATTAATTAATTCAGCATTAATTGATTCCCTTAAATTAAAGTTAAAATAACACACGGGAAATATGGACCCGACGGAGAATGTAGGTGAATTTAACGTAACGGTCAACAAGTTAAATCAACGGCGAGCCGGCGATGCAGCGGCGAATTTGGAACGCGCGAATCCACCGAGAGTTTCTCGTGTAAATCCTATTTGTTTATCTATTGTGTGCGTCCAGTTTCAGCCAATGGAGATTTGAAATGATCGGCGTGAGGTTTCGTACTGTCGATAAGCGACCGTGCCGCGATCAACGTCAGTCCTCGATTCCCGGTTTTTCCCCTGCGATTTCGGGACGAATTTCGCGAGCGGTCCCTGCACCGATTTTAACAATCGGGAACTCGGGACAAGGGGCAACCGTTGACTGTCGTCGGGAGGGAACGATGTGTTTTGCGTTTGACATAGGACACAGGTACAAGTGCGCCGTCGTCGATCTGTTCTCTATCGTAGAAAGAAACACTTGAGCGCTCCGTTGGGATTCCTCTCTTTGAGTTGTTGCCTTGAGTCTCTAAATTCGCGAACGTCGCGGGGAAAATCGAAACGTCGCGCCCGACGAATTCGATAACGCTCGGTGACGCTCGCGACGTCCGGAAGATCTTGATTCAATTAACGGGCATCCATCGCGGCGGCAACGTTTTGCAACGTGCGTGCGCAACACATTTCAAGTTTGTATTTTTAGCCGGGAAATCGCCGCCGCGTGACCACGTCGAAGGTAACAATCGTCGCTGTGTCAACGATTGAAAGTCGCGGAAAGCGACAACGCACAGTTTGAAATGCGACTTTTATCGTTAAGCTGCAGACTGAGAATACCGTCCTTGAGTGAATAACGGGGTCCGAAGTAGAAGGACACCGGCCGCGCTCAAGTGTCACCTTCCAGAGTGTTTAACGGTTGGAACGACCAGTTAATCTCTATAGTGGAAAAATCTCATTCGCGGAATCACAGATAAACTATACAGCCCCCGACACTACACGTCGTTTTAACATCTCTGTCGCTAAACACCTCGTAAGATTGAGAGACACACATAGAATGCGCGAACTCGAGACTCACGACTCGGTATTCGCCAGACCAGACGATATCGGACGTTACTCGAGAGACTTCGGGAAGAGAGCTATAAATAATACCAAACCAATCCTCCAGCCTTCTCTGGTCCTTTCCTCGTCCTCTTTTTCACACACACACACACACACACGCTCTCTCTCTCTCTCTCTCTCCCTCTCTCTCTCTCTCTCTCTCTCTCTCTCTCTCTCTCTCTTTCTCATCGTGCTTAGTATAGTATAACAAAATATAAATCTGAAGGCGACACATACGTACGCGCAATCGCGAGCACGTACCGCGCGTACAGGGCTGTTCGTTGGATCGAGTCGGCAAGCGTCCTGAGCGACGGAAGGAAACGAGAGAGCCGGCGAGACGCAGCAGGCTGAGAGACCATCCGGTTTGTTGCGCCTTCAGCGGCAAGGATTTCCCCCCGAGATTAAGATATTTACTACTGTTCGGACTCTATCACCATTGTCACCGAAACTGTGCGTCGACAGCGCGGAAACGATAGAGACACCTCCCCCGATTGCAACATCTTGCGAAAGAATAGGGTGGATCCGCACGGGAAAAGAAAGTTCGATGAAATTTACTTGACAATAAACGAGCCAAATGCGTTTTAATTGAAGGAAATAGAATTTCTAGTTATTTCAAAACTGAATTTGGTACATAAAGGGCATTCAACAATTACCATCATACCACAAGGGGGCAGTAAAGGAATATCACATTAGATGACATAACAAATATGGGTGTCCACGATTATTCACTTTGTTTGATTCGTGACACATTTGGTTACATTTGATGAAACTTTTCACGTTTTGACATGGTTTTATATTAATAATCAAAATAATAATCAAAATGTTAATTTTTAAATACTTATTCTTTTAAAAACAGAACTTTACTAATCAGAATTACAAAATAGAATAATTAATTTAATATTTTGGCTAAAAATTATTTATATTTTAGTAAAAGATAGTAGCGTAGTGTATAATTATTGTTGTATTATAGTATGGTTATAAGCTATTTTTCTTACTCTACGTGCCGACGGAAAGAAGATAGTTCCACATATCACGTAATATTGAACGAAGGCAAATGCTTTGTGACGAAATGTGACGAAAGGGAGGAGGAGAGTGAAAAATAGCCAAACATTCCATGACGTAATTGTTGAATGACCGCCTGTTTCCTTCCACCAAAACGCGTTCGGTTTGCTCGTTTTCGAGTAAATCCAACGAAATTTCGTTTCCCGTGCAAGGAAACGGCGAAGAAGCATGCCCGATATGTTAACGCGATCCGACCAATGCCCTGTACGACATTTGTATACAAGTAGATCTTTGTCCAGTACGTACTCTTGCTTCCATAAAGACGTCCGGTAATAGTGGAGTCGGTCCCGACGAGAGACGACACTCGGTCCTCCTCTCTTTTTCTCTCCCTTCCTCTGCCCCCTTCACTTCTTCTCTTTCTCCTTAGATCTCATAATTGCGAAACTTACTGACGATCTCGCTGGGCTCCTGACAATTGAACGGGACCCCGTGGCCCGAACGGTAATAGAGATTCGTGGCCCCACCCTCCGATGCCCTCCTGTGTACGTTTGGAGGGTGGCTCCTAAGGTGAGCTGGCGAGCCGCCCGCTTCTCCGCTCGTGTCCGGCAGCATCCGGTCCTTCGTCTTCGGCGTGCTCCAGTGCATAGTCTAGCGAGAGACAACGCGAGAAGATTCGGAGGATTAATCGCGACGGAACGGCCGTGCGTGCATGTGTGTGTGTGTGTGTGTGATGAGGTGTGACACGACGGGGAAGGTGAAACGAGACGTGAAATGGACGATGAACCGCGCCGGTCTCGGTACATATATATACGCTATACATAGCGCATTGTCCAAAGCATTGTTGTCGCGAGGGTAGCGGCATCGATTCGCACGAAATTATCGCCTATCTCACCTGGTGCACATGCTCCTTCATGCCGAGCCATTGCTTGTAACTGATCTTGATACCGCTGTTTCGCCATTTGTCGTAGTTGATCCTCTTCTCGGGGTCGCAGAGAACCTCCTTCGCGTACTGCGATACACACAAAAGGGAAATCAGTGCCGGTTCTGTTCGACCATCCCGATCGAGAGATCGTTCGACTTGGCTCAGAGAGGAGGAAGACTTGCTGAGGGGAAAGAACGCACCTTTAACTGCTGGAATTTCTTCTCAGCCTCTTTATCACCCTCGTTCTTGTCCGGATGGTATTGAAGCGCTAGCACTTTATATTCCGCTGTGATCTGCTCAACCTGATTTTGCAAAATCGAACGGGAATTGGCTAAGACGTCGAATGGTGAGAATGGAGATTAATCTACTCGATGCTATGTACGGGAATCTCGTGCGTCGTCGACTCTTATTGTTTTTTTTTGTTTCGTTGTTGTTTCTCGATTGAAATAAATTATACAGTGTCGAGAGCGATGCGGAGATGTTGCTACAACGGAATAACAACGAGAGAGCGGCTTTATCGCCTTTATCTTCAGCTTTAGTCCGATTTTATTTTCACGCCTCCGCTCTGCTCGTTCTCTCCTTCTCTCTCTCTCTCTCTCTCTCTTTTTCCCTCCCTCTCCCGTTCTCCCTCTCGATATTCAATCGCACTGATCTCTCTAAGCACGCATTTGTATATATTCCAATCGTATGCTGCAAAATCACGCGCTTAATGGTACTCGTCAACGGAAAACGAGAACGCTATGAATACGCTGACGCGATTTGTCGACGCGAAGCTGATGCTTTTATCAAGAGCTCGACGGAGATAGCAATAGCAAAACGTAAACTCGGCGAAATTGAAAGGCAAACGACCTTTCCGTCGCTCACATTCGTGTACAAACTTTTCAATATCCAGCTGCATATTAGCTGCGTAGGAGCTATGAAAAGAAAAAAGGAAAAAAAATAGGAGAGAAAAAAGAGCGGCGTGACGCGCGAAACAATTAAATTGTAAATTCTGGCGCGACATTCAACCAATTTCGATTTCTACGAAATACCGTTGCGACATTGTCCCGATAAAAAGAAAGAAAAAGAGACTCTCACATTCACCAACGGCGATTTGTTGTAATCGTTGGTGATCGAGGCGACGAGTAGTGTACCAACGACAAATGAAACAATCTCGCGCTCGATCTAGGATACGATTCGATCTCGACGGTAAGATTGTTGCGCAACCCGCAACTTCAGCGTATATACCGTGCGAACTAGGAGCGAATGGGACTGCAACGTAATTGTGTTGATCGAGAATTCAATTAATGGAGAGTTTAAATTGTAGTTTCCTTAGGGGATCCGATTATTACGTGGGCGAGTCGACGCTCTAATTTAACTATCTCGCTACGGGCGCGAAATTAATTTAATGCGCAACGTTCCTGGGTGTGATCGGGCGAACATCGGTGAACCAGCGTGTTCCTTCGAGCGCGAAATAAAAACGGAAAATGTTACGTAAACATGAGAGCTCGAGATGTTCTAACGTAAAATGCGAAATGTCAACTTGAGCTGCGTTCAATATTCCAAATCGTCGTGAGTGACCGACGTAATTAGCACGCATGTGTTATTACACGCGTACACATCTGACATTTCCACGACAACAAACGTCCGTTCCCCGCGACCTTTTGCAGCGAACCTGGACCGAGTCCGATCTCTTTGATACAAGCGACAACGCGTCCAATATAAAAACCCGAAGGAAAGACTAAATCCATGCTCGCCGATCGAGATTCGCCGAATTATTCGCGAGAAATCCACTGTCAATGTGCTGTCGTGTCTCTCACCGTGGAAGACTCGTCGCAGGACAACAGTGCGTAATAGTCCTCCTCCTCACTGGGCGAGTAATTGATGACGTCCTCGACACTCATCTCGCTCCTTCCAAGATCCTCGCTCTCGCGACCTTCGCCCTACGGAGCTGCTGAACGCTCGCGCCCAAACTGTTCCCCGCGCGTTGCTCGATCGCGATTTCCGCTCTCGTGGATCTCTGCTTCGTTCGCTCCTCCGGACTCGGTCGAGATCCCGTCACCTGTTGCCGTGAGTGAATCCGTGAGTAGCGCGTCGTCGACTACCTGCCTTCGCTGTGGTGCGCCGAGTGAGGGGAAAACCGTGTCGCCGAGACCCGGAAAGACCCGATTCCCGGGGAATTCCACGCGACTGCGTATTCGAAAAGCCCGAGCCCGCATCTCTCTCTCTCTCTCTCTCTCTCTTGCTCGCTCGCTCGTTTGCTCTCTCTCTCTCTCTCTCTCTTCCCTTTTACACGATATACATCCTATGCGCAGTTGCGCGCCTGTTGCGACTCGGCTCACCCCTCGTGCGCCTATCAACCACCTATCCACCCACCCACCACCCCGTCAACGTTCCATCGGGTGATCGCAACCTACGACTTTAACATAATTCACCGAAACTCGCGTTTTGTTTCTCGTAGCTTAGACCCTCTTTGGGAATTGCCTGATTCTCCCTCCCTCCGATCTGTTAGATCGAGTTTGAAATTATTAAGTTCTCCGGGAGAGCAAGAGACCATGTATGCGGCTCTGCATACAAGACCTCGACGACAGGAGGAGGCAGGAAATCGCCTTTCGATACATGTCGAGGTAATTAAGATTTTTTGCGTCTCGCCTCGCAAAGGCGCTCGAGGCACGAGTGGAACTCGCGTTTTCCAATTGACACATCGGATATATCGAACACGGTTTCACTCCGTGCGTTCTCTCGCACGTCGCGTTTTTCCCGGCGAAACAAGTTGGAGCTCTCTGTCAGAAAATCAAGTCGCAAACGTTTGCTCAATAAGCACTTTCACTTTCAGATTAGCGCTGTCAATTTCGACTACCCGGGTCTTTCAGCAATTGAATATATGGATTTCAAATATTATTATTATTTGTTATCGTTAAGACAATCAATAATTTATCACGTCTGAATTTAGCCGTATACTCAGTTACCGAAAGACCCAAGTAACACTGAAAAATGAGTTTCGTTAAGTCTACCTAACAATGAACTACCAAACGCGTTTTGGCTGAAGGAAACAGGATTTCTAATTGTTAGAATCAAATTTAGTACATGAGGACTAGAAATTTTATTTCTTTCAACCAAAACATGTTAAGTTATACATTGTCAGGTAGACCCAACCAAACTCAGTTTTCAGTGTACTCGAGTACCCGAGTAATCGAAATTGACAGCACTATTAACACGAACGATCATCGCGACGTCAATCAGCGATGACTGGTCCCCTTCGAATGACGCGGAACGCCGTTATCGTCGCAGTTACTGACGCGTCCGAATCGATTTCGAAACTAACGGTTATCACCGGAATCACTTCTTCCCGACGAAGGGACAAGTATGTGAGCCACTTACAAGAAACACTTACGAGCACGAATATTCGATGTCACGTGTAACTTTAATAATCCTCCCGTGAGGATCGAGACGAAGTTGCCAGCGGAGCACGCGAAAACGTACGAGTTCTCGAACAGCTCCATGCGATATCGAGAGCGCAGCGCATCTACGTCTTACTGACGTAGACACGAGATTCCAGAGACCCGCGGCTTTCACTTGAGGTTAAACAACCTTGAACCTCTTTTTATCTCGCAACCTTACCGATCGAGCAAACACAGATTACTCGTTGCGATGAATTCACGGTAATGGATGTATCTGTGGACATGTGGAGGAATCACTTCGAAAACAGAAATGAAAAATTCTTTTTTCTTTACTCTGTCTACTTTCCAATCTAATCCGTGACATAATCCTCAAAGGATTCTCACTTTTGTGGGGAAAATATAAGAGAGAAAAAATGTTGAACCCGCGACAGTGTGCGAGAAATTTTTATAATAATTGAATTTAATAATCCGCAAGAAACGGTCGCGCTAAGACGAACTCGTCAAAAGTTACGAGACAAAGTTGTCACACGCGAACACGAAGGGCGATTGATGAAGCGCTACTCGCGCCTACATACGGGCTTAATTAGAAATTCAAATTTTACGGAGAATTATGAGGAAGAACGAGGGAGAGAACAACGAAACGTGAGTGTATGTATGGATCCATTATGCATTCCTCTTACTCCCGCGAAGAGGCTGCGAGGAGGCTGCCTACCGTGCGCGTTAAGCTAAATTTAAGGGAACAATCTACCTTCTGAAAATTCAACGGACGCACAACCGAGCACGCGTGAGATAGCGAGGAGAAAAAGAAAAAAGAACGGAAGAAAAAGAAATTTGAGCTCACTAGCAGTGCTATAATGGTTTCCCGAGGCGCATGTCCATTCGTAGTCGACACATGTCAGGTCGACACCAATAGCATCCGCAAAACTTGTATGTTGGCAGACTGAATTTTTGACAAATCGAATCCGACGCGTCCGGGAAACGCGCTTTTAACGTTCGTTCGCATCGTGTGTCCCTGCGTGTGCATATATATATTTGTATGTATGTATGTATTCTTTTTTTCACAGGCGATTTCTGCTCAGCAGACGGAATAGAAAAATTGCCAACGAGGCGGCAAAGAGATCATCGTTGCGTGAGAATTGCACTTCATTCGCGTCGCTTTCCGAAACTTTTCCGAAAGACACGCGCCAATTCACAGACCGAGGTCGGAATATCGCAGGACCACGAACGGTGCTGCGCTTCGTGACGAATTAGGTCCGTAATTAGGAGCGGCCTCTGATTTGTTTACGGCTGGCCGTCGATTCGAACAGATGCGCGTTAATGCGGGCGAGTTGCTGCACGCTGCAAGCGCAGCTAAATCAAGTAGTCCCTGACAGTGTTGGAGAGTTACGGTACGGTAATCACTCAAAGGGTTTTACGAGACACGGCCGAGGGCGTCGTGTCGAAAGGGTCGAACCCTTTCACCGCTCGAGGAAATATGCACGTTCACGGGCAGGAAATACATGCTCCGCTCCGCTTCCGTACGCATATGCGTGACAGACACGCAAGCGTGCACGCGTGCGCACGCGGCACTGGCCTTACTTCCCAACTCGAGATTACCGCTAAATATCCAGGTGTACGCACAGATATATTTTGAACCTCTGGTAAATGCGCTCGGGTCGGCCAACTCGAAGAAGTCGAATGTGACAATCGAGGGGCCCAAATTGGCTTACGATAATAATGATAATACTGATAAATGCGAGTGTAATCATTATATCAACAATAATGCTCTGAATAAATATTTCGACACTTAAGCCGGGAATTTCATAAGCTAGTCTTATATTTAAAACTGTCTTAAGTTAAACTTAAGATTCTGTGCAGCTGATTTCATTGGCTATGGCACATCTGAAGATGAACTTCAAACGGTTTTAAATATAAGATCTGACTGTGAATATCGTCCTTAGGTCCATATTAATACTTGTTAATTGAAACTTGCTTCAAGTGAGATACTCAGTCTTGAATTCCAAATAAGATGTGAGTTTTTTAGTTAAATTGCAATTATAACATCAGATGTATCATATGATACAATTGAAAAACTTCGGTCTAATCCTAAGTTAAAACTTGAATACCTCACATAAGATTCGCATAAGATTAAGTTTCAAGCGACAACTATTAGTATAGACCATAAAAATCTTATTTTAAAACACAAAGAACGTAGAATTTTTTAATTCGATCTTATATTTAAAATCGTTTTAAAGTCTATTAACAACTAATGTTCCATTTATAAGACGATTCTTTTTTATTGACTAAAATCATTGGACAAGCGTGTTTGTGCATATATATATATGTTACATACATAATTTCCTTTTTATGTTTTTAGCAATTAATTCTCAGTTATATATTTGTCTTGAACAAAATAAAGTTCTGATATTTAAATAATTCCCAATTTGAGACTCTTTTGAAAACTAAACAAATTTAAAAAAAACTGATCCCTTAATTAAAAATGTGTGTGAAAAATAATTATAGAGAACGTTTGAAAAGTTGAATATGAGATCAAACTGTAGATACCGCTTTGGAACTTTTAAAACCTCCGAAACCCTAAGACTCTCGAAAGAGCTCGAAATCTCGACCTGGAAGATGGAAACCCGAGCTAACTCAAACATGATAAGCAGGTATAAGCGACACGGATAGAGCTCTCGAAATTTTTCATAATAACCGACATAACCGTTCTTTCACGATAACCGAAGTAATCGCTTTTTCTTGCACAAGATTATAAATTTCTTATTGCTCTGCTCGATCTAATTAGACCCTCTACGGTAAAACGATCACATGTACAAAACGTGCGAATAGGACGCAGGAATAGATTTGAGAGGAGGGAAAGAGAAAAAGGCGGGGGAAAAAAGGCACCCTCGTGCGAGGATTGTAAGAAGAGCTCGCACACGTGAGCACCTCCGCTTTTCTTCGGCGCCGACGGCAAAGGCGTCCTTCGGTCCGACTTCGCCGTCCTTGTCTATCCCGAAATAGCGTTTCGTACGCGAGGCGCACATGGGCGTTTCTTCGGTGCGACTGCCAGATGCGTGGGTGGTGGCAGTGAAGAAGAGAAGGAGAGCACGAGCTGCGAGCGATCATATGGCAGTGCCGCCGATGGGACTCCCTCCTGGCCTGGCTTGTCAGTGCTTCGTGAAGTGTTGCGCCGTACCCGCGCACAATCCCTGACCGAGCACGACCCTGACGAAGTATCTGTGATCCACCTCGGCGGGTTAGCTCGCTCGGCGAGCGACGTGTGATGACCGGGGAGCTTCCCCGGAGGAGCACGCGACGTCTCCGCACGCCGCGAGCTTTTCCACTTCGCGGGCACTTCGAGTCGCCTTCGGAAGCACGAAGAAGAACAAGTGGAAGCTGCGATCTCTCTGATGTTTGACGGCTTGTGATCGAGCGGAGCGGCGTTCCGACGCGTCTGGAGCAACGGGATGATTGATCGTCATCGCTAGCCTCCGCCGGGATCGTAATTGGCTACGTTAATTGAGTGTCAAACGTGCGTGGATGCGCATGACGACGACCGTAACGTCGGATTGCAGCAGTGCTTCCGCGACGATCGTACACTGTTACGAGAGAAGAAGAAGGAACGCTCGAGGAAGCCTCGTCGATCATTCATGTGTGATATGAAGGAACGATTCATCGACACGTAACAATAAAAGGAATCAATGGTAATCGGTGATAATTTATTCAAATGAAAGAACTCCGACAGCTCGCTTTGTGTTCGAAGTGATCGTCGAAGTGGACATGACTTGTTTCTCCTCTCGCAAGTTTCTTCTCCGCCGCGGGTTTAAGTCGAATGACCTCGAGCAAGACGCAGAACGCATGAGGGCCGGACAATGCGGACGTAATTAACGGCGGAACACTAAAGGTGAGTCGAAAGACGCGCGTTGTAAGATTCTTAGACTCGTATTTGCATACTCACGCCTTCTAATGTATGTAAATGACAAAGCACACGCGATACAAGATTAATTTTGCGTCAGAAACAAATTCCCTCGCGAAAACTCCCGGGAAGATTTCCGCGGTTTTCTGACATTACAATAATCGCTCCTTCGATTCGTATCGATGCACACCCCTCGTCCATTTCACGCGCTCTACACGCGCTTATCTCATGCATATCTAATCGCGCGGGAGCGATTTAGTAAGTTCGACCTTTTGTACCTTCAGCTGGACACGAGGTTCAGAAATTCATTTTCTCAGAGAGAGAGAGAGAGAGAGAGAGAGGGGGAAAAGCGGAGAGATAACGATAAAAACTCGACGGCAAATGGTAAACACGAAGAAATGAGGAAACGAGCAATGTGGAACGAAGCCGTTCCACCGGAGGGGAACTCTTCGATTACGCTCGCATTCAACCAGCTCTTTATAGCGACTGTTGAACAACGTGCCGCGTTCGTTCTGGGCGTAGCGTGTGCCGCACATGTGCTCGTTTACAGGAGCACGTGCACCGCCGGATACAGGCCTCTTTTTATCGGGCTGGAGTCGCGTTGCAGGTGCAGTTCGGGCGCGATGCAACGAGGCGCGGCCTAGCGCGGCCGGCTGGTCGGTCGGTCCTCCGCGACGGTCACAGGAACAGTCCTCTATTAATAGCGGCGAATGTGTGTGATTTGTTCGAGAAAGCGCGTCTAGCCGTGGTAGCGGCACGAGTCGAGCTTCGACCAAGTATGACGAACTACGGGCCCATTTTCAAAAGTTACCTCGCGAGTCGAGCGAAGAAGCGCGAAGAAGAGCGGCATTTCGCATTGCACCTGCACGATCATTCCTAATATTTATTTGTTTATTTAATCAACGGAGACGAAAAATTCCTTCTTTGCGATAAATAAAAATGTGTTTCGCGTATATATACGTACTTATATAGGCAGAGAAAAAGGTTTTTTTGGACTTAGTTTACGTGTTTATTTGACTCGGGTTTGTTTAACATAAACAACATAATTTATCATCAAATATCATTTTGCTTGAATGAAAATATTGTTTCACTAGAGTAAACCATGCTGCTTGATGGAAAAAACAATATTATTTAGAGGAAATAATATATTTGGTCTTCAATAAAAACATTCATTTCATTATGTATTAAATATTGTTCTTCTGAAACGAAGTTCTTTGAAATTTTTCTAACATAATGTTATTTCTTTCGAATAATTTATCGCTTGTGATAACTATTGTTAATGTTTGGATGAAAATACAAAAGAAATTTGTTATTTGACGTAAAGATATTTATTATTTGAAAAACCAAACAATCTTGTTTGTTGAATCAAACATTCGTTTGATTGCTCTATTCCAAAAGACAAACATACAATATGTTGTTTCAATTAAAGAAATTTTATTAAATTCAAAGAAATCTTTTCCTCTGCGTTTTCTCTACACACATACATTTTTACAAAAATATAGGCAAAGCCGACCGCAAACACAAGCAAAGCAAGCGTGAGGTATAGACCTGTTTCATAAACATAACCATCGGCATCAAATTTAAGGCACATTATTAGGCGTCATGACTAAATATTTGAGACATTGTGAGACATTAGTGAAAATCGATAAAGAGCAAAGTCAAACAACAAATATCGTCGTCCTAATGATCGTCTCTTCCTTATAACTCGTGGAGGTAAATCTTCCTGAAGATGTGATAAATCGTCGATTTTTCATCTTCTAAAAGGATGATTTTCAAAGGATCTTTTCTAAAAGGACTTTTCCAGAGGATTTAGAAGAGTGATACGAGAATATATCTCGACGTTCGTCCGTGTGTATTAATAGCATCACATTCTTCCTTCCATCAGCTGATCCATTTGGTGGAGGGGTATATCGGAACGCTTCGTAGGTACGATCACCCTTCTTCCCTCTCTTTCCCGCCTCTCTTTTGACCTCCCTCTGCATCTTTCGCTTTCCCTTACTCCCTTTCGCTCTCTCTATCTCTCCACTTGTCTATATCTCCACCAGGCACATTCTCTCTGCCTCTCCCGGCTGTACGAAAATAGTAACCACCATCGTTGCAGCAACTATGAGGGCAGAAAATTGCCGCGGCGGCGCGTATTTGCTGAACTAAATTCGAGAAAACACGGAGATTCTCGGCTAATGTCATCTAGTCGCAGCCACGTGCAGCTCGACGAAAATAATTGTCATACAAACCCAATATAACCCCGGGGGAATTATTCCGCAGCATTGCGCACGCGGACAAACGCGACCCTTTAGCAGCAAGACGTTTTCGTCGAGAATAATATCGAACAATATCGCGCGCCGAGTTGCATTTCGGGTCATTGAAATTTGCCGTCGTAACAATTGGCCGGTGAACGTTGATCTGTGTCATCTTCGTTGCGCGACGCGAAGGTACGAGCCTTTCAGATGAAAACGAACATTTGTAAAACACACTCCCATAATTTCCCACAATTACACCGGTGGACAGTCGTAGGAACAACAATCCCGGTCGTTAAAGTTCACACTCGCTAATGGAAGAAAATCTCTTCATGAAGCGGTGAGCGAGAAATCGCCTCTTATAAAGCGAGATAGATTTGATAGATACACCGGTCGCTTTCCTCCCCTCCTCCTCCCCCCGGATAATAACGGCGGATGCGACATGCGGCGAGCAACGTGATAATGTCACGTGCATAAAACGTGAATGAGCCACGTTCGCTCTCGACCCCCATTTCTCCATTCCACCCCCTTCTACGAGTGGAAGCGGGTCGAGTTTCCCGCGCGCCCGATGCGCGCATCGCCGCGCTAAATATAATATTTGCGCGTATTTTCAGCGATGAATGAAAGCACCGACGACTGGTCTCACGGGGCCTCTTTCCCTTTCTCTCTCTCTCTCTATCTCTCTCTCTCTCTCTCTCCCTTTCTCGCGTGTCTTCTTTATCGAGGAGGTGAAAGCCGGCGAAAATCCGCGGGCGACCGCTGCGGAATTTCGGCGGCGAGGGCGACGCGAACTGACTATAATTGATTTTGTGTCGACAGGTATCCCCGCGGCATCCCTAGCGAGACGCTCTTCTGCAGAGAAGGTCATCATGGCAGTCGGTGAGTCTTATCCCTTGGCGGCGCGCGATCGCGGCATACAGATCGCGACGGCGACCCGCGCTCAGCACGCCGGACACGTCGTACACACGCATAATCGCGCTTCTCCCGCATCTCTCACACCCCGTACGCGGACAAACAGCAGCCGGTACGTCACGGTCGTTTCGGCGAAGCCGCGAATCGTGCTCGTAATGCAATTTGGCGGTAGCTCGCGGTGTCGAATTTAAACTCGCGACGGCTCGCCGGCTCCTCCAAGCCGCACGATCGTTCGTCGAGTTTCTCGATCGAACGGTTCGTCGGTATTTCGCGAGGACTTCTCGATTTCGCAACTGAAAGATCACTAGTGGACTTTGAGATCGACTGCAATTCTCAAGAAAATCTACGGCCGAGGAGTAACTCGATGGATTTGGCACACTCCGAGTGATCGACGACGTCTCGCGCAATCTTATTTTCGCAGAAACATCTAATTTTACGTGTCGCGAGAAAAATATTCGCTTCGACGATTTCTGAGCTGACAACGAGAGCGAAAAGCTCTTTCGAATTCGCCGAAGAAAAACGTAGGTGCGAAACGCGAATCGAGCTCTCTCTCTCTCTCTCTCTCTGCATGTGTACGATTTATCTTTAAGATCAGAAAAGACACATATATCACACCATTCTATGAGAGACTCCGCTGGTCGGAAGCTAATCTGAGACGTACTTGCGGATTACCTTGTTTATATTTTTATTATTATTTTTGTTTATACAGTTATTCTAATTTCTGGGAAGCCTCATTCTTTGTATCGAGAACTTAGATTTAGAAATGATTCTGCGTGACCTAAGAACACCTGCTAGCATTTTGATTATTCCTATGTGCTGAGCCGAGATTCTCAAAAGGTCTTTTTGATGCCTTGCCGCGGACCGTTGAAACCAGATCACACTTAATATTAAAATTGCAAGCTCGATTGGGAGCTTTAGAAGCAAATATTTTATATATTTATTGGAGATCAATGCATAACCAATATAAGGGGTGAGACGTTTCGCTATCTCATCTATAATTCTATAAACCTAACAGTATTACCTTATTTAATTATTTAAACTACTTGTAATACGCTTCCTTTCTTTATTTTTGATATTATATATATTTTTGTTATTTTGATATTTTGTTTATTTTGTTTTGCAATGCATTTTCTTTATTACTGATAATATGTACTTTTTTTGTCATGTTCTTGAGGGAACTTTGAATAAACACTTCTCTCTCTCTCTCTTTCTCTCTCCCTCCCTCCCTCCCTTCCTTCTCGTTCTCTGCGTGGAATAACGGCGTGGAGGATCGTGAATCGCGGTGGTGCATTTCCGGTGTAGCTACCGCGTATTCCTGCCAGTTTAGCGAGTGGGGGAACAAAGCAACGTCCGGTCCGGTCCACCCCCCACTGATCAGACCCATCGTAGTGAGGCTCGTTCATGGTGTCCCATGAACGTACGTAACTGCGGCTCCCACAGTCGCAGGTGGACTCTCTATTGGTCTAGTCGTGGTCGTGGGCTCAAACCGTGAGAAGAGCGGCCGTCGACGACGTCGACGTCGACGTCGTCTCGAGAGAGGGACACCTCATTCCGTATTCGACGGGCGTGCTGACGCGTTCCGACCACGTGTGTATCGCCGGGGTGCTGCGCACGACGTAGCACGGTTCGTGCCGAGGAAACATGCAAACTACACTAGGACCTTAATATCTCGAGTTCCGAAGTAGGCAATTCGAATCTCGCCTCACATTCGTCTGCTTGACACAATCAGGGTTCGAATTCGGTGAAAGAAGGGAAGAAAAAAACGGAAGCTCTTGCGAAAGGAACTGACCCGTTTACCTGCTTTTGAGTGACGCCGTAAGCGTTAACAATGGACTTATCGTGGAAATCCGCACAATTTCGCCTGATTTGCCGACCCGCAGACCCGCCTCGTATTGGTGTTTACGCCAAAGACTTGCGCGAAGGTCGCGAACATATAAACACTCGCTAGCTCCTCGCTAAATCCCAGAGACAAAGGTCTCTCTGCTGCGAGTTCAGTTTACGAACTGCGACCATCCGATCCGCATGTTCACAGATAATCCGTCGTACTTCTCGCTGTCCGGCGAGGCGGCGTCGTCGTCGTCGTCGGCGAGAACGACGACGGCGACGTCAACCAGGGGCCACGGCCTCACCTCGTTGTTCCGGAGAAGACCCAACAACAGGATGGGCGCTGCGACCTCTCAAAATGCCGCCCTCGCGGAATCCACGTCCGGCGTCTTGACGCATCACGAGGCTCGCGGCAACGCGTCGGGCGCGTCCACGCCGACGGAGGAGCGTGCGCCGATGTTGTCGCAGAACGGCGCGGTGCAGCCGGGATGTGGCAAGAGGAGAAGCTTCCGTAACCTCTTCAGGTCCGTGAGCGCGAACGCGGATCATGAGAGGACCCAGAAGTTCCTCAAGGGCGACCCGAGGCCGTCCGACGTCGCGCCACCGTCGCCATATTTGCCTCACAGGTAAGCACCGCTCTTCAGCAAGAAGATCGAAAGCAGCCTGATCCGAATCTCTTTGATGTTGTGATTGAAATTAAAAAAAAAAAATTAACGTTGCGTTTGTACGTGGATTACCGCGTTTATTAATCGCAAGTTTGTTAATCGAACTTGGAACTCGTCAGCTCGATTCGATCTTCGCGCTTTCTGTTATTAAGAGAGTATGTTAATTGTTATATTGATGTAGGTCGCACTCGCATTCCGAGAAAGACCGACATCGACCTAGCCGAGGCAGAAGAGTCCTGAAATCCGCGAGCGAACTTTTATCCAACGACATGGTCTACTGCGGTTTGACGGGCAATTCCAAGGATCGTAATAGCGACGTTGACGGCAACGGCAACAATAACAACGACGACGACGACGATGACGATGACACTGCGGAGGTTTTCCTCAGTGCTAACGATGCAAGGTTAGTGAAAAAATTGTCTTTTAGCCGCATTATTATCCGCCACTCACTCTCAACGTGTTTCCTCCAAAAAGGAAAAGGATCGCGCTGAACAATAAATCCTAGCCTGGAATCCTTTCTAGGTATTACAATCTTTCGTCCACGTTACCAGCGGCCGGCTCGACCACAATTTGCCGAAGAAGGCACTCGATCGGCACTTTCCTCGGAAAAGAAACAGCCTCATCTGGTAACGCCGCGACTATGGTACGACAACAAACGACAGGATCCAGAAACGCGCTGGAAACAGACGCGGCGGCCGCTTCGGTCGACGATACCGATGGCGGTCCTTGCAACGAAGAAGGACCCGTAGCCTGCGCCAGGACCAGGCGCAGAAGGCACAAGAACTCGTCCAACAAGGGTGAGTTTCTTCACTTTTTCAACGATTTTTGTCGAAACGTTTGTCATTTAGTCACGTTACTTTCCCAAATCAAACGAGCCTACCATCCTTTCTCATTTTCTTTGATTTTGTTTTATTTATATATTTTCCAATTTTTTACAGTTTTATAGGCTCGGAAAATAAACGGCGAATTTTTTTCATTCTTTCGCAATTTTTTTCGATTTCTTTCCACGAAAAAATGAAGAAAAATGAACTTTTTTTAAATTACATAACATTGTTTATACCTCATCGCAAGTAAGACTTTTCCAATCCGCGTCTGAATTTCGGCACGACAAAAAAGAGACCGCGGAAATCGCAGAGCCGCGCAAATTCCCTCCTCTCATTGAAGACGATGATTATTATTTCTATGGCGAGAGGACGGCACACTCGAGTGGAGAGTTCTCGCATTCCCACGTCCCGTCTGTCGCACGCCCGCATGAGGCGCAAATCACGCGTGCGCCACGACCGTGCGTTATAAAAGACGAAGGCACTGTGACACAATTTCGATCGCAGCACCCTGGCATCGATTGTTCTCCAATTTCTGTTCACGCGACACTTTCGGGTCGCTTTCGGACCCTTCAATCATAATGATGCGAAGTGACGTTGTAGGAGGTGTCGCACGATGGTCCACATTCAATGGACAGCTTTTGTACGAAGGGAAACTAAGCGTCTCTGTGTAAAAAGCAGAAAGTTCTTCTTGGACTTGAGAGAAAAAAGTAGTGGTTCAATATGAGGAAAAAATGTTAAGATTTATAATTTTTCAATATTGTTTCCCAAAATTTTGATAAATACAACGTCATAGTTAATTTAAAATAGCACATGCGCAGTTGATCTCTTTTGGATCTGTTCAAGTATCATGCAAAGTATATCATGAGCATAGAAACTTAGCAGAATTTGGCAGGATTCATAATTTATGCCCGTTAAATATTACGTGTTTCCTGAAAAATTGCCCAACTTTCAGAGGCATTTAGAAAGAAAACTAAAGCCACCCAAAAATTTACGACTATTTTTATCATTTACATCTAAAAATGAAGTATTTTCACTGCCGTTAACTCGGCCAAACTTTTTCGAGTCCACCAAAGATAGATCCATCGTTGATATCATACGTATGTACGCAGAAATATTTTATGTGACATTATTTATATTTTGATCAGAGTTTTCTACAGGGAAACGGAAATAGTTTGCACAATTGAATTTACCATTGTAAAAATCGGGCATAAATTAACTTAAATTATTTAAGTATGTCAACAATTTTTATAATTATGAAGTTGGCGAAATAGGATCTTGGCCACAAATTTGGACGTTTCGCTCTATTATGCGACGATGCTCTCTTTCATGTCGTGACAAAAATGGTCGATGCCATTAATCCCTTCTACGCACATCGTGCAGGAACAGATCGCGACAGATACCGCCATAATAATTGCTTCATTTTGATTAATTTATTCTACTCGCGCACACGGGCGCGATCGTCTTTGAAATTCGAATTAGATTTTAAGATAAATAACCCGTAAAGGATATCCGGCGATCTCGCGATCACGTAAGAGATAAAATCCCGGTTAGCAGGTAAACGCTCACGCTCACCATAGGTCGACTGAAATCCGGTCCGGAAGTTCACAACCTTTAGTATTCGGCGAACGACTTTGCCGCTTTCCGATGGCCGATTGCGTCGGTCGACGAGCGGCCATAACACTATGAAATTTACGACGTTACGTGAGCGATTACACGGACAACGGAGGACTCGCCGACATGTGTAAAATTAATTTCCCCTCGTACGGGGAAAGTCGAGGCTCGGGCAGTTTTAAAGTTACAAAACGAGAAAGAAAGAGAGAGAAAGAGAGAGAGAGAGAAAATTACACAAAGAAAGTCTAAAGTTACAGGGAGAGAGAAAGAGACGGAGAGTAAAGCATGAAATTAAACGAAATTAAATTCATTTTCACCCTGTAAGAATTAACATCTCAATTATGTCGCGCACAGAAAATGTCTGTGAAAACATGCACATGCACGAGCTATCGCGGGATCTCAATCAAGAAAGTCAAATGGACGAAGTTAGATCGTGCCGTGCGTGTTTTTTACACGCGAAAACACGACCTCGGCCAGCATCCGGCCGCTATTTAATTACAGCCGGAAATGAATTGCAGAAACTCACGCAGCAGGACCGCGAAAAAGAAATAGCGATTCCATTTGCGCCGCTGGCCGTTCGTGTAATAAAGTATGTAAAAATAAATAACGCAGGAATCTATCTTATACCGAGCAATTATTTTCTTTATCTCGATTAATTGATTTAGTAATTGGGTCAAATCAGCGCATCCGATCGCAGCGGAGAAATTTCCACGTGGCCACTCCGTCAGATTTCAAGTCGAATGTCGTTTCTTTTTAACGACGCATTTCAGCGACAACACGCACACGGTTTCGATGATTTTTCGCTCGGGGTTTTCATATTTATTCGCGAAATTGTTTCAGAGAATTCGCATTTTTCCTCTCTCTCTCTTTTTCTGTCTGTCTCTCATTCACTCTCTTCCTCTCTTTAAGAGCTATTTATTTGCGATGTAAACGTTATCGCGCGTGCTGCGGAAAAGCAGATACCCGAACGTGCTCGCGTGGTTTTGGTTTCGTTTGTAGAATGCCAGTGTGTTTTCACGTGCCTTCCGTTGCACACGTCGCACAGCGTGTCGCTGCGCCAGCACGAAACGGAAATATCCGTCCATATGTTGACACGAGGTCGTGTAGGAACTCTCACACATCCTACAGACGCATCGAAAGAATACGCTCCCTCGTGCCGTAAACTTTTTTTCCTCTCTAACCCGAGAAAAAATAGGTCCGAATGAATAATCGCGTTCCACTCGTCGGTTATTTTCACAAATGGACCTACCTTCGCCAGAACTAGTAATTTGATGTTTCACTCACTCTTGAATTTCAACACGCCGAATTTATATGACAAATTTCCCTAATGTCGGGGATTTTACAAAGAGAAACAGACATATCGGAAAACGTCACTGAAATGTAAAAAGAGATATTGAAAGCGGAAAAAGACCGATGAAAAGAGTTGACTGACAGAGTTTTATGTAAAAAAAAAAAAAAGGTTATTGTGCGAGGTATTAACTCGCGAGAATTGAAAATTCGTATCGCCCGTCAAAGGAACAAACGTCGTGGCGATAGAGACAAACAAAACGAGCGTGCGTCGAGAGCGATAGATCGAGCCACATAAATCTATTGGAAGGCGGAGGTCAATAACCGCGAGATTAAGCATTCCGCCTGCATTCGATTCCATCCTCATATTATTTACCGGTTGTACTTCCTGGTGTTACTCCAGCACGAATCCGGCGCTTCCGGCGCTGACAGTTAGTTACCATGAGACGTCGCGACATCGAGCTCTCACGGCACGACGGTAAATCAACTTTCGGCGCTGAATTCGATACGACGGTAGTGAGAAGGGGGAGGACAGGGGGAGGAGACTAGCCTCAATTAATTTAATTAATAATAATAGACACAATTATAATATATAGAGATTAAATCTTTCGCTCGCTCTCATCGAAGCGTTAAAACAAGCCCGGCCGGCGTTTTTGTAATAAAGCAACGAGTTGGCAACGTATTTTGACGATACACAACGTCGCGTCGCGATCTCAAGCGAGATTCTCTCTTCGCATCTGCTTTTATCTTTATTTTTATCCACGCTTGACCTTTCTTTCTGCCGCGTGCGTGTGCCGATAATAAAAACTCGGATGATACATCTTCGGGGAATTAATCTTCCTTAATTACCCCCTTACTTCTCGAGACGCGCGAGTTCGAAAATCGCGTTAATTAAACCGCAGGAATCGCCTCGGTGTAATTAGCAGCAATTAATGCCCAGCTCTGCATGTCGAAGCGTGTTCCACTCGCACCTGCGCCACGGTTTCGCACTCCGTTCGGCTTTTGTTGCCGGATTTCTTCATGGCGACGGGGTGTGCGCGAAATCGTCGTCATCGTCGTTCCAAGTATGGCGCAAACATCCGGAGGACAGGTATAGGGCTATTTTCGCTTCAATGTTTTCGCGCGCGTGCGCTATAAACATCTCGCTCACGAGATTTTGTCCAGAGACCAACGTGCGTGAAACTACGCGGCTTCTCCGTAAAACCGTTCGAAAGCTCACCACCGCCAATCATTCGCACTTTACCAGACGTATCGCGTTATTTCGTTAAATTCGACGAACACTTGTCGCACACATGTGTTCTCATTAACTCGACATCGATAAATAAATAATTTCGCGAGCTGTATTAACAAATTGGCGGTAACACGTATTCTATTTTACTGACTGACGTAACGTTGCATGGAAGTTCAAAGCGCAATGTATACTCGGCGCCGCTATTTTACATGGAGAAATAGAAACCGCACACACTCACACATGCGCATGCTCGCACACGTACACATGTATCGGAAGCTATGCAGGGGTTTTAAGGACCGATATCGAGAGGTCGATAGTGGAACGCGCTTTGCAGATCGGGAAGGCGGTACTGAAAATTTCTCCACCGGGAATACACGTTGCGCCGGCTTTATTTGAAACGTCAATTTAGATTCGTGCTTGAAAAGGGATTCGAGAGGCGCGATCAGAGTTGGAACGACCATCAAGTACATAAACGAGCTTTGATTGGTCAATACGCGATGTCCGGTAACTGCGATTTATCCAGCGAACCGAAAGTCTCGCGCGTCCGCCGTTATTCGCCGATAACTCCCGCTCGCACATCGATCCCGCGCCGCGAGTCCGCGAATAGTCGAACGAATTATATTTGCTATCGAATCGATTCGCGATGTTTCCCGGAGTGCGGAACATTTGGAAAATAAAGCGCCAACCCTGCCAGAAAGAGTTAAGGTAGAGTTGTATCGCAGAGTATTTTTAGTGGCGCATCAAGGGGGCCGCTTATAAATTTAGCACTTATCAGGCAAAATTACGTTCCTATATTTTTATCTCACTACTTAAATAATTCATTTTAATTTGAAGCAAGTGGAGA